GTTGTTGGTGATCCCACCAGTCCCCCCCCCCTGATGCCACCGTTCACAGAAGGGGCCTGAACAGAAAACCGATGCAAGCAGAGCTGAGACGCAAGTGAGACGACAAAAGTGAAGGGGCCCTGGGACACACAAATAAATACACACAAATAACCGGATTCCCCATATTTTCTAATATGTTTTTTTTTGTCTTCCCCCCCACTTCCCATATTTTGCAGTATTTTCCTGGGAATCGACGATTAATTGTGTCTGTGTATTTTTTCCTCCTGGAAAAGAGCTGATGTGACTCGCGAGGAGCCACGGCAACCCTACGCGGTGGCCTTCTCGGACCGCCAGCGCGGCACACCGCATGGAGCAGAGAAAGCGCACGCGCGACCTTGCGCGGGCTACGGACACGAATGGGTCCGCACAATCGCCCCCGGCCTCTTCCGAGCATCACAGCCAGGGGTTGGGGTGTGGTAAGAACAAGGCGATGCCAACACCGCCAGGGCGAGGCGAGGCCAGGGGGGTCTCCTTCGTGGTGTGGTCCCCACCTCTCGCTCGAGACATCCCCGGCCTCCAGATCGTGGAGGCATCGTGGACCTCCTCGCTGGAGGTGGGCCCACTGGTGGTGTTGGTGCCGCCTCTCCCTCCGATGTGGGAGCCCTCCAGGCGATCAGAGCCCAGCTGGCATGCTGCGCAGAGCCGCACGGCAACGCGACGGCGGCCAACTTACTGGCGAAACACGGTCGCCCTTGGATGGCCTCGAGGGCACGGGCCTGCGAGGCTCAACACGGCCCCCTGAGGCGCATCCTCCCTCCGCTTCCTTCTCCTCCTTCTCCTCCTTCTCCTCGTCCTCCTCCTCCTCCTCCTCCTCCTCCTCCTCCTCCTCCTCCTCCTCCTCGTGCACCAGAGGAGGACATTCCACCCCCTTCCTCATGCTCAGCCTGTCCGTCCCGTCCCTCTGCATTGCTTCTGCTTTCCCGATGGGGTCCAATGGGTTTCATGCGCCCTGGATGGTGGAGAGAGCGCGCTTCACGGGCGCTTGCCTTGGAAACATTCGGCGGCGCGTCGTTTCGAACCAGGGGGTGGCCCCCCCCCCAACACTCGGCGTCGTCCATCAGAACCAGGGGACTCCCCTCCCCCCTAACCCCCGCCCCCTCCCGAACCCCCCCTCCCTCCCAAGGGGAGGGGGGTTCAAACCCCCCTCCCGGCGCCGGCGCTGGCGCTGGCGGCCGCCAGCAGCGCCGACGGCGGGGACGCAGGGACGATGACCAGAGGCAGCCCACAGGGGGGGTCCAACCCCCTCCCCCCTCGCGCAAGCGCTGGCGCCTGCGCTGGCGGCGGGCAGCAGCGCCGACGGCGGGGACGCAGCGAAGATTACCAACACTACCTACCTACCACCACCACCACCACCACCACCGCCGCCTCAACCCACCACACCACCACCACCACCACCACCAACCCATCACAAAACCACCACCACCACCACAGCCACCACCAACACCACAATCACCACCACCACCACAAAACCACCACCGCCACCACCATAAAAACCCACCAATACTACCACCACCACCACCAGTCTACTACATCACCACCACCACCACCACCGCCACAACCACCACCACGACCAGCACCCCAAACTACCACCAACACCACCAACCACCATAGCACCACCACCACCGCCACAACCACCACCACCACCACCACATACCACCACACCACCACCACCACCACCACCACCCACCACCACCACCACCACCACCACCACAAATCACCACCACCAAAACCAAACGACCACCACCAAACCACCACAACGACCACCACAACCCACCACCACCACCACCACAAGCCACCACCACACCACCACCAAATCACCACCACCACCACCCACCACCACAACCACTACCAGCATGCCAAACCAACACAGCACCACCACCACAACCACCACCAGCGTCACCACCACCACCACCACAACCCACCACCACCACCACCACCACAAACCACCAAACCACACCCACCACCACCACCTCCACCACCACCACCATCACCACCACCACCACCTCCACCGACTACCACTACAACCACCACCACCGCAACAAACCACCACCACCGCCACAACCACCACCACCGCCACAACTACCACCACCACCACCACCACAAACCACCACCACCACAACCACTACCACCACAACAACCACCACGAAAAAATACCACACCACCTCCGCCACCACCACCACCACCTTAACCCACCGCCACAACTACCAGCCACCACCAGAAACAATCGCACCACCACCACCACGACCGCCACCATCACCACCACCACCACCACCACAACCTGCCACCACAACCACCACAACAACCACCACCACCACCACCAACCACACCACCACCACCACCACCACCACCACCACCACCACCACCACCACCACCACCACAACCATCACAAACACCACCACCACCATAGCCCACCACCTCCACCACCACCACCTCAGAGAGGCCCCAAGAGACGCCCGAGAGGCGCCCAGGAGGCTGTACAAATGCCCTTCAGAGGCCCCCGAGAGCCCTCCGACGAGACCCCAAGAGACATCCATTAGGACTCTGACCCGAAACCAAGGCACAGTGGCGGAGCGTCGTCGTTGTCGTCATCGTCGTCGCCGTCGTCCTCGTCGACGCTCCCCGCCGCCGCCGCCCGCCCCTGCAGGCGCCGGCGCCGGCCCAGAGAAGGAAGTCGTCGTCCCCGCCGCCGCCGCCGCCGCCAGCCGCCGCTGACGCAGGCGCCGGCCCGACTTGGCCCTTTTTGAACACATCTTGCGGCCATCTTGGGGTCTCTTGGCGCCATCGTAGCCGTCTTGGAGACTATCTTCGCCGTCGTTGAGTCCATCTCGGGCCGTCTGAAGCGGGAAGACCGACCACCTAGGAAATTTATGGGTTCTCGTGGAGGCGATGTTTCGGACGTTGAGGTCTTTCCGCGTCCTTGCGCGTCCTTCAGGGTGACTGGTGGGTTGCGACGAAGGCCCGCTGGAACCGTAAAACAGCAGCATCTGCCTAACATTCGGCACGATGTCCCTATGGGCGGCGGATCGCAGACGCCTGCGGAGAATCACCGCCGCCCCCTGCCTTCTGGAATCGCCCATGCGGCCGAGCGTTGTGGCACGAGCTCTGCCTAGTATCTGACCATGTGTTTCCCCAACCTTTGTGGAAGCCCTTCGGGGAACACTTGGGGGACGGCGGCGGGGAAGATCAGGAGGAGGAGGAGGAGGAGGAGGAGGAGGAGGGGACATCTTTGGAGCCTCTGGGGGCACTCTTGGGGCCTCATGGGAGCTTCCTGGGAGCCTCTTGGAAGCCTCTTGGTGGCCTCCTTGGGCCTCTTTGGGGACTTCGGGGGCTTGTCAGCGGGTTCTTTGCCCGTCTTAGGGCGTTTCTGGCCCGTCTCAGGGGGGTATTTGCCCGTCGGAAGCCGTCTTGGGGGCCTCTCTGTGCCGACTTGGGGTCTTTTTGGGGTGCCCCAGTGCTGTCTTGGAGGCCATCTTGGGCGTCTTGGAGGCCTCTTGCGCCGTCTTGGGGTGGGGCCCTCTGAGGCCGTTTTGGGGGCCTCTTGGGCCGTTCTGAGACCATCTTGGAGGCCTCTCGGGCGATCTTGGGGCGATCTTGGGGGCCTCTTGTGCCGTCTCGGGCCGTCGGAAGGCCGAAAAGACAAATGCTAACATCCTCAAAAGCCAAGCGAAAATCAATGCACTTGGCCTCCTTGGGCCTTCCTGGAGGCCCTCTTGGCTCCCTCTTGGGAGCCTCTTGGGCCGTTTTGGAAGATCTTGAGGCCATTTTGGGCCGTCTTGAGTGCATCTGGGGGCCATCCTCGGCTCTCTTGGGGCCGTCTTGGCAGTTTGGGAGGCGTCTTGGAGGCATCTTGGTAGTTAGCCATCTTGGGCCGTCTTGGCCGTCCGAGAGGCGATTTGGGCAGCGCGAGACGAAATCTGGAAACCGTTCTGGGTGGCCGGCGCGCTGGGCCGGAGCTCCAGGAGGGGTTCGCTTGGAAGAGGAACAAAACCACGCCGAGTACACCCTGCGAAATGCTTAAGAAATCATGGGTTAAGAAATTCATGGTCTCAGAACTCGAACAAAAACCCACCATTTCTATCAAAATCTTGGGATTCACATTGAAACGTTAAGAATAATCAAGACTCTGGACGAAAATTTAGGTTTTCTTAAGCATCGCCCAAGGTGTATAGGATTTTGCACGCCAGGCATCCCTGTGGCAGGCCAACAGAGGGCGGCGGATCTAGTCGACTTCGGCACATCCCGGCACCGTGCCTGTGGGTCAGAGTCCTCATGGACGGTGCGTAAGGTCCCTTCCGAAGGCTCTCAGTGGCCTCAGGGGGCACTTTTGACAGCTCTTGGGGTCCTCTTGGGCGCCTTTGGGGTCTCTTGGGGCCCCCTTGGGGGTCTCTTGGGGTCTCTTGGAGTCTTTTGGGCCTCCTGGGGGGCCTGTTGGGGCGGAGAGCTCGAAATTTTGGTTCGTGCTCCCCCTCTGGGATCTCCTAGGGGCGTTTTTGGAGCCCTCTTGGGCAGTGTTGGAGGCCTCTTGGGCCGTCTTCGGGCGATCTCGGGGGCCGAGGGAAAATCGGTGAGTTGTGCCTGGGTGCTCTTGGAGGCCTCTTGGGGGTGCTCTTGGAGGCCTCTTGAGCCGTCTGGAGGCCAGCTTGGGCGTCTTGGAGCGATCTTTCGGCGAATCGTAGGCGGGCACAGTGTCACAGGACCGGCAAGAAACTCCCTGGAACTCACGGGGAACACCCTGGAAGACCCTGGGACGGCCTAGAACTCCGGAATTCCGGGCCCTGGAGAAATGGCAGTCTTGGTTGCAGCAGCAGCAGCACAGTTGTGCGCCTTGGGGCGGTCTACTTCTTGCCAAAGGCCAGATGGCAGATTACTGATATTAGTTCATCTGCTCGTCACGTTTTGAACGTTTTGTGTTGTCAGGCCTACTTCCTAGATTTCTTGGAGTTTGAGATTGTTCTCTCAGCGATTCGCCGATGTCGCCGAACATCGGAAGCCGAACAGTCTACCCGCGCCAGCGGGGCAAACAATGACCTCCATTCGCGCCAACGGGGCACGCACCGACCACGATCCGCTACCTCACGACGCATGCGTGCATGCGTTGATTGGAGGGCTCACGCGAGGCTTGTAAGCGACAGCCTCTGGGGTGCCATCGGGAAATTATGGTCGGTGCGCCCCGTCACCGCGTATTTGCTGGTGGTGGGAGTTGTCAGAGCACCAGTGCGGGGCAGAGCGGCATCGACGCAATGTTTCTTCTACCTCCCCAAACTTCGGATTTCCCGTCATACCGACGAGGAACACGAGGAGGAACCTGTGAGGATCCCAGAGCTTCCTTGCCTGCTGTTGCTCACTGCGGCTACTGCACCATCCGAAAGAGCGCGTTCAGTGGTCGTTTGGAGGGGGGGGATTGGAACCGGAACCCCTCCCCTCCTCCCCTCCTGCTCCTCTCTGCCCCAAAGGTGGCCCAAGATGGCATCAAGATCGCCCGAGATGCCTCCAAGACGGCCCAGGAGGCTACCACCAAGAGGACCTCCTGGAAATTCTTGCAAGACCGCCCCAGAGGCCTCACACGGCCGAAGAGTCTTGTTTTAAAGAAGTTTCTAAGAGCCCCCGGGAGGCCCAAGGAAGCCCTCCAAAGGCCTCCAAGAGGCCCCCAGGCAGCTCCCAGGACGCCCCAAGAGTGCCCCAAGAAGCTCCCCAAAGTCCTCCTGCTCCTACTTGTTCCCTCTCATCCTCTTGTTTTCCCCCACGTGTTGCCCGAAGACTTTCCACAACGGCTGGGGGAGCACGTAGTCCGGTAAGTGTTGGCATGTGGCCGCAGTGTCCAGCCAAATAGACAATGGAAAGGCAGGAAGCTGCGATGACTGGCCGTAAGCGTATTCGATACAATCACTTCGGGAGCTATACATCACTAGCATATCCTAGATACGACCAGCGAGATGATAGGCACTGCGGAAATTTAACGAAACGCTTCCCGGAGAAGCTAGCGTGGCCATCACCGGGAGATGTCACTCGGCTTCCCTGGGTTGGAGCACGCATGAAGTCACACCGCCCTCCCCCCCAGTGGCCAAGACCTTGGAGCACAGACTCCTGTCTCCCCAGCAAGTTGGTGAAAATACTGCCGCAGGCGTTACTCGCTTCAGCATTCGCCACGCAGTCAAGAAACCCATGGACATGCAATTGTCTAGCTGCTTGCGCGAATTCGGAGGGGATATCGAGCACCGATACGGATGCTGCTGATGATGATGATGATGATGATGATGATGATGATGATGATGATGTTGATGAACATGCTGCTGCTGATGATGATGATGATGATGATCAACACTCGGCGGGCGGTAGGTGACGAAGGCGCAGGCAGAACCGCAATGAACGCTAACCTGGCGGCCTGACCGGATCTCGCCCTTGTGCCAGAAACTGCGCAACCCTGGACGCTGTGAACAGGCCGCGGAGACGGCTCGCGAGTGAAAGAACTCTCTGCTCAGCCGAGACCTGTTGCCTCACTTTGAGGCTGTTGAAAGCAGAGAAAATGATATCGAATGCAATCGCAATCGAGCTCAAACGTGGTTTCGACAACTCTGGGGGATCAGCGAAGTTCAATGCAGACAAGTGATCCCCATCCCCCCACTCTGCAAGGGGGGCGCGGAAGGCAGCGGGTGAGCACAGGACGAATTACTGGGCCACTCGCATCGTGCTCTACCGAGTCGCCTCCCGCAGCCTGACATTCGAACCGACATACTTGGGCACCTTGACGATAACGACGAGAGGTGGGCCAGGCGTTGACGAGAGCTTCGAAGGTGGCGACAGTGCACGAGTCAGGGAGATTCGAGGCGAGAATAGAGAGGCGTGGACACAACAGATCGGATTGAGACAAAGATGCGCGCTTACTCCAATACTGCAATCGCGGGAACAAGAAGCTCGACCGAGGAACATGCTGCCCCCCACCACCTTAGCATAGATCTTTACTTGGAGGTCCGAGTCCATGGCCTGGGAGGCCCCGAACTGCGCCCTGAGAGCCTGGAGCTGGTTCGTCACCCGGAAAAAGATCGGGCCCCGAGAAAACGGCATCCAACTATATTCGACCACCCATTTCGTTCCAGTCAAGAGCTCTTCAAACTGCTTCAGTCTCTTCTGGAACGGGTCACTGCGGAGGTCAGCGCGACATATGGCACAGCGAGCAGCAGCACATCTTGGACGAGGCTGGTGGGGGATACCAAAAACTGCGAGCTGGCGCGCCATCTCGGGCGAGAAAAAGTGTTGCGGAGAAGCGGTGAGTAAGCGCAGCCCTTCTCGCTTTGCCTTCGGCGCATCATCAGTGACGGCGTGGCACTGCGCAGCAAGACTCAGCGCGGGCTGCGCGCCCGTGTGATCTCTTAGCAGACTCGCACTTGGACCCAGCTGGAGACCACGAGCATAGCGGCAACGTCGTCGGCGTCCTTGCCAGCGTTGTCGGCGTCCTTGCATCGGTGTGGCCCGAGGACAGTGCCCGATCATTCAAGCCGATCTACATGCCGAGGCACTGCGCTGCCTGTGCGATTTTGCATTCATCAGCCAGGAGCCCGCGGTCACGATGCCACGCCAGAACCACGCCCCGATCAACGTCCCTGGGGAGGACCCAGCACGTGTGTTTTTTTTCCCCCCAGGTGGATCACGAGGCCCGTGGCCCTGTAGGCGAATGCGAGCTCGGAAAGGCCTTCAGGCAAAACTACGCAGATGTTGCGCGCGACAACGCCCTGGTCATCAGCGAAGACCAGGGTATAAGATGGATCACTCTTGATACAATCGGCGGCCACAACAAGGATTACACATGACATCGGGCAGCCCTGCTCCGAAACGCGCCATGGAAAAGGTTTGGCCCGGGCGCCCACGGACACATACCCGAACAAAAACGCCTGAATACAAATTCCTAAAAATCTGTACATGCCAAAACGGAAACTGGGCTGCCTACGTGGACAGCTGAGCCTCAAGGTGGAAAGCATTGTCTATAAGCTGGCATCCGCGAGGGAGGCCTCGCTGGCACTGGTGCGCACATCGCGCTGCGTGGTCGGTCATCGGCGACGCGAGGCGGGAAGTGATGACCTTGCAGTCCGTGATAGGCAAAGCAGTAGGACGAGCAGCTTCAGGAGAGCGGGCCTGTTCAAAATGGCCCCCCATCTCCCCTTTCGGTAGGAAGACAGCAACGCGCTCGACAACAGAAGCAGGATCCGCATGACCTTCCCACGCATATAAGTGCATGTCGTAAAGAGCCAGCTGTGCAAAGTCACCGCCAATCCGCCAGGCACTATAGGGAGGTCCATCCCCACCAGGTGACGGTGACGAGTCACGACAGCGAAGGAGAAGCTCTTACAGGTCGGCGAAGGAGATTTGCCACTGAATCTGTCGTGGAGCTGCTCAGGCACGCCGCAGGTGCTCAGGGGGCCGGTTGCTCGCCACTTGTCTGCGCGCAAATACCTCGCCCCAATACCTAGCAATAAGAGGTGCACATCTATGTGGGTCATGATGAGAAGTTCCATGCTGGTCAGCGATGGTTTGTAATGCAATGCGCTCATGCGCAGGGGCCCAAGCAGCAGCAAGGTTACGAATTCGAGCTGGACGCCCGCCCCGTGCACTAAAGGGCACACGCTCGCTCTGTACTCCAGCCTCCATCTTGTCATAGCGTGTACGATATACTGAAGATAGATGTTGATGGGGCCCGTCCCTATCAACCCATCCCCACGAGTCACTGCTGACAGATCTCTGAAGCAACTGATACGCAACCACCGCTCGCTGGACCAGACGAGATTGCCCATGACGAACCCCACGGACCAAAGCTAACGACCAACTGATTTTCTCCACGTCAGTCTCCCCAGGATTTCATCCTTACGCTGCACGTTCCTGGACACCAGAAGCCACAGGGTTTCGATTTCCTCCAGTCGAGTCGTCGGGTGCGTGGAGAGATCCGCAGCGCGCAGTTCGTTCTCAAGCCACTTCGCGAAGAACGGCGGTTGGCCGACCCGTGAGGGAATGCAGGGAGCACGTCTAGCCTCTGAGTGGCGTAGCGAGCGAAACACGGCGCGTTGTCACTCGGCAAGTTGCTGTCGAATGCGCTGCGAGAGACACCTGCAAGCGGACGCAAGTCGCGCATCTCCAAGGCGCGCAGAAAACAGTAAATCCTATCTAGACGCGCCCAAGAGGCCACGCGACCTTGATGGTGATCTACGGGTAAGGTCCGTCTGGTAGAGTTCCGTGCGCCCAAGAAACTGATCGCCGAAAAGCCAGGAAAACCCTGGTTATTTTCCCCGGAAAGGGCGCGGGCCCAGGGTTTTCATTTCGTCTTGTAAACTGTCCCCGGTGCCATGACTGAGGTGGACCGGCGGATTCTTTTCCTGATTATTATCAAGGTCGAAGTGGGCCGGCGGAATGACACTTGAGGATGTCTCAGGCGAAGCGGATTTTTTGGCTGAAGAATGTTGAGGCTGTCTCAGGCGAAATGCTTGTTTGCAGAGATGGGGGGGGGGGGGTGCGTCTCGGGCGAAACGCTTGCCTTGCCGAAAATGTCGAGGATGTCTCGAGCGAAGCGCTGACTTTGCTGGCTCTTGCGCCCCCCCCATCTCCGCTGTCCCTCCCTCCCCAGAATGCGACAGTTGCGAAGATTCAGAGCTTCTGGGTTGCCAGAATTTGATGCGCGACCGCTATCGAATGGTCCTCGGCACGGTACACCAAAACCGATGCATTCAGCATTGCAACCTGGCGCGTTCCGTGGCGCGCCCCGTGGCGAGCCCCCCCGGCACGTCGCGCGGCGCGCTCCTTGGCGTGTCCCGCAGCGCGTCCGTTGGCGCGTTCCGTAGCGCGTCCCCTTGGCACGCCCCGCGGCGCGTCCCCGCGGCGCATCCCCTGGCACGTCTTTCGGCGCGCCTCCGTGGCACGTCCCCTGGCACGTCGATTGGCGCGTCCTTTGGGGCGTTCCGCGGCGCGTCCTCCTGGCATGTCCCCCTGTCAATTAGCTCTGGGGCAGCTATTGCGTGCTCAGGCAGCTCGGGCTTCAGATCCAGATCAGTTCGGCCAGGACTTGGATGCGCAGGAGGAGTCGATCCACAACGATATAGAGCACATTCGTGGCATGGCACATCGGAATTCAGCACGACGCCGCACGACACTGCCCTCGGCGCGGTGCATCGAGGTCGATTCGCTCAGCATTGCAACTTCGCACGTTCCGTGGCGCGCCCCGTGGCGAACCCCCCATGGCACGTCGCGCGGCGCGTCCCCCGGCGCGCCCCGTGGCACGCCCATTGGCACGTTCCGTAGCGCGCCCCCTGGGCACGTCCCGTGGTGCGCCCCCATGGCGCGCCCCCCGGCACGTTTTTCGGCGCGCCCCTTGGGACGTTCCGCGGCGAGTCTTCCCGGCGCGCCCCCCTGTCAATTGCCTCTGGGGTAGCTACTGTGTGCCCGGGCAGCTCGATCTTATGATCCATTTCAGTTCGGTCGAGACTCGGATGCAAAAGAGGACTCGGTCCACGGCGCTATAAAGCAGAATCGGGATGGCACGTCGCAGCGCAGCACGGCGCAGCATAGCACAGCACCCGGCAAGGTACATCAAGACCGATGCACTCAGCAGTGGATATGCCCGTCGCCCAATCATGTGCCTTTGCAGCGTTGCGATGCCTTACATTTCTATGTTCCTTTCCTGATCTGCGGGCCGATCGTGTTCTCAGTCTTGCCGTCGAGCCCCTGGCGAACCTCCCCAGCCTCGGAACAAAAAAACCGCCAAGGATCAAAATTTGCTCATCGCCTTATAGGAGGAAGCCAACGATTCAGATGTTGCAGGAACGCTTTCTTATGAGAGAGCAAGGTAGGATCCAAATGCAGACTTGCCACTGCCATGGCCTGCTCGGGCAACCGAAGATGGAAAATCGCAAATCTGCAATGGAAGCATCTTCGAGCCAAATCTGCCCGAACTTCGCACGCAGGCTCTAGCGCGCGATCGCGAGACAACCACCAGCAAGAGACAAAGCAGACAGAGGAACGAAAGGCACGGAACAAGCTTGCCTTCAGCGCCAGGCCTCAGAACGACTCGTAGCTGCTGTCGAGGCCATCGCAGAAGGAGAGGGGGACCAACGCGCAGCAGGGCTCCCCGAAGCCGCCAGCGACGTGTTGGAACCAAAATGGTCAGGTCGATCTTCAGTGATACTTGGACCAGCAGCTGCCCCTTCTACTGGGTAGAAGGCCGCAGATCCTGAAAAGTTGCCGACAACGCCTCTTCGATCTTTGCGCCAAGAACTCCCCTGTTCTCGAAATTCGGAATACTCAAATCGAAGCTATAGCTTACCTGCTCGTTGCCGCGAAGGGTAGATAGTTCCCTTGCCCATACTGCATCATCTGTATAAATTAATGAGGCCCTGGTCGCCGTCGACCCCCAATCGACAATGACTCAACTCAGCGCCACGTGGACCAGTCTTGCGGAGTTCCAGTATCTTGGCGTGGATCACAGAAGCTGCGCGTTGCTGAAACCGTACATCGGGAGGAATACCAGCCCGACTGCGAATGCTATGCGACGTCTTCGTGCGCTTGCCGCCTCAATCGATGTCAATGTCGTGAATGTCAACTGGTAGCTCTTCGCCGAGTCCGTGAGTTCGTGCTGCAACCATCAACGGCCTCCTGCGGTAAGTTTGGGGAAACCATTGGGCGCCAATGAGTTCCCATCTGTTTGCCGAAAGATTTGCGAGGGAAGGTGCCGATGACTCGTTTGCATGGGTCGCTCGGCATCGCTTCGCCACGTCGTGGTTTACCGTCTCCACCACGCATCCGTGAGAAACCAAATGTCGAACCATTGGCTGACGAAGCGTATGAACTCGCACCACGGTTGAAGTTGATCTGTCCCTGCAGGGAGCCGATCAACTGGTCCAATTCCTCCACTTTTGCAATCAAATTCTGCCTCCAGTGACTACAACTCTCTTTCAAGTCCCTGATGAAGCCCAAGTAGATTGTTAAATGTCCTATCTGTTGCTTCATGTGCAGACGACATCTAGGTGCATAGCGCTTTTGATAGCGATGCCATCATGTCTTTCATCTCGGCACTAGTAAGAGCCATCTGGAGGAGTGGAAGTGACACGATTGGCCGCTGGAGCGAACGGGGAGGAACAGGCCGTGCGCCCACCTGAAATCTGCTCGAGCCATCCCCTCGGTTGCGACCAAGCCCCAAGCGCCAGGGACGCACGTTTGTAGTTTTAGGTTTGAGCCGAAATGGCTACGGATGATCAGGATGATGATGATGATGCTGATGCTGATGATGATGAGAACGATGATGATAATGATAATGAAACTGATAGTAATGATGATGATGATCCTGATACTGATGCTGATACTGATGATGATGATGATGATGATGATGATGATGATGATGATGATGATGATGATGATGATGATGATGATGATGATGATGATGATGATGATGATGATGATGATGATGATGCGGGTGATGGACGCGATGGCAGCCGTAGATTGTCCAGGGCCGCGCGGGGCTCGCGATGTGCTGGACGACTCCCTTGTGTTTGGAGAAACTCACAGCAACAGAACTCAACTTCAAACCGCCATTGGAACCATCAAGGCTTCACTTCGCTCCGCAGCCGGAGCCCGTGCCTGAGGACGGACAGAAAACACAACAAGACGCCTCCGATGGCAGCCAGGAGGCACCCTTGCCCCAGAAACGTAGGTGCATACAGGCGGACCTAGGCCAGCACAACATCCTTGAAGAGCACGAGACCCTGCGCGGGCCAACACACACACACAGGACATCCGAGGGTACCCTCCCCCAGGATGCACAATCATATCCAACAGGCGAGAAAAACATAATGGTACCCTTCCCGAACTGACCTCGATCCGAGACCTCGGTCCGACTGTGTGAGAGGGGATCGAGGGGGACACCTGGGCACGATGGATTTTGCAGGGGCGGTCGATGCGTGGATCGCGGCCGCATTTACAGGCCGCTGAGGATCCGACGGCGCCGCACATTGGAGCCCTCGCAGCGCGTGCGGCTACTTCGGGCCGCCCCCCCCCCCCGCCGCCTCCGCCTCTTCCCTGTCCGCGTCCTTCTGCTCCACCTGTCCCCAACGCCCCTGCAGGTTCCTACTACTAGGAGCCTGGGGCGCGTCGGGCGAGATCAGTCGTAGTCCATGAAGTCGCCCCAAACAGAGTTCGCCTCAAAGACACCGAGGTCCGAAAGCTTGGCCATCACGCCCCTCGGCGCCACCTTCACGTACGCCTGTAGCTTCTTGCCGACTGTGGCGGTGTCGATTTCGATTCGGTCCTGATCAGGGTTGTTGGCCTTGTCCGTCAATAACATCGACACCGCCATCGACTCCATGTTCGAGGTATAAAGCTCCAACTGCTCCTGAGTCAACCAGCCGTATTGTATTGAGGTGCTCAGGGCCTTCAGAATCTGGTCCCACTTCAGCTTGACGCCAAAATTCGCCTCGGTTTTCAACATGCAAAACACCCGCAACTCAGGCGCCATGTTGTCGACGGCGGCCTTGAAAACAGACATTCCGTCATCCTCGAACTGCTTCCACTGCAGGTCGCTGAAAGTGTAGTAGCAAGGGTCTTCATTTTGAACTTTACCGCCCTTCAGGGTGACAACCTGAACGATCTGGGCTAACCACACGCGCTTTTCTCTCTCCGGCGGCACATCCGGGTCGTCGGGGGTCGTCGGGATGACGAAGACCTGCGGGAGCATCCCCGAGGGGGACGCCGAAGAGGGGATTTCGCAAAGCATGGCCCGAAGAACGTGCGCGGTCCAGAGGGGAACCATCCGACAGATCGAAATCATGGCCCCCGCCATGGTAACCGTCCCTCTTGTAATCATCCCCTCTTGGACGCCCCCGAGACCTGGAGGTCCATCTTTTCCACCCCCATCATAAAGCCGGGCACAAGCTTCATGTGCAGGGTCATCAACCTCTTCACATTGAGGCCGACGGGTGGTTCTGTCCAGCGATTGGGGAAGAAACCGCGAGTCTTAAGCTGGCTCTTCGCGGCCTTCTTTAGAAAGCAACTCATGGAAGCTTTTGGTCCCCATGGCACCAAATATCGAATCCAATAGCCTGCAACGCGGATGCAATGCATCTCCCTCATATGGCGCCAGGAGGCGCTGTGGGGCGCTAATTGGGGACGTTTCGGCGCAACTTGAACACTATTCGACGCTACTGGGCACTATTCGGCGCAATTAGGCGCTATTTGGTGTTATTGAACGATAGTGGGCGCTATTCACTCATCCGCCACCGTGGTGCCTGCACCACGTGGACGTGTTTTGGGGTGGTTTTGATAAGGGCCCCCCCTCTACAACCACACAGTTGCATGCATCACCCCTGCTCCCGAGGCCACGATCCCTCGTCACAAAGACGATGCACCTCCGCTCCCGAGGCCACGATCCTTCGAAGGAAAAACTGCGCGTCCCCTCCCAAGATTCCAAAACAGCCCAGGAAAACAACCAAGGCAATAACGATGGCCCACGATGCCGCGAAGACGGGCCAACATGGCCCCCAGGCGGCCGAATATGGCCTCAAAGCAGCCCAAGATGCCTCCAACAGGGCCCAGAAGGGTCCCAAGAGGACCTCCAACAGGGCCCGAAGAAGCCAACATCATTGATTCCCTTCTGGTGTCTGAATGATTTTGCATTCTCGCCATTTCGGGCTTCCGTCAGCTCAAGACAGTCCAAGATGCCTCCACGATGGCCGGAATACGACCCAAGAGGCCCCCACGAGGTTCCAAAGATGGCCCGACAGGACTCAACGAGGACCCAAGAAGCATCGAACACGGTCCCATTACAGCCAAAGCGGGCCTACCGCGGGACCCAAGACGGTCGCAAAGACCCTTCGACTGCCCAAGACAACGCCAAGACGGCTCCGGGGGACTCATCACACGGCCAAGAGGTGCGTAAGACGGCCAACGAGAGCCGAAGGCCCAAGAGGACCCACAAGGGACTCCAAGACTGCCTCGCAGGAGACCAAGACATCCACAAGACGGCCCACACGAGTTCCATAAGTGCCCCATCAGATAGCGAAGACGAAAATTGTCACATGTGACGACATCATCGTTATCCTCCTCATCCGGCTGCTCCTCCTCCTCCTCATCACCCATCATCATCATCAGTAGCCGTAGCAGCAGCATCATCATCAGCCTCATCATCAACAGCATGCGTATCATTCGAAGATCACCATCGCCATAATCATCGCCATGATCGTCATCATCACCTTCACTATCACTACCACAGTCACCACCACGATCATCATAAGCATCATCACAATCGCCAAAAACCATCACCACCATCATCATCAGCAGCATCAGCATCATCATCAGCAGCAACATCATCATCATAATCCGTATCGCATCATCATCATCAGCAAACTCATCGTCATCACCACCCCCGCCGTCGTCGTCGTCGTCATCCTCACGCGCATCGCCGCCATACGTACAAAACTAAGAAATACATTCATAAGCACAAGCATCATCATCATAAGCAGCATCATCGTCAGCATCCCCATCATCAGTTCGAGCATCAACATCATGAACATAATCAGCATCATCATCATTATCATCATCATGCGTATCATCATCAGCATCATCGTCGGCATATTAATCGACGCCATAATCGCCATCATCATCAACATCATAATGTTCGTCAGTATTGTCATCATCATACTCAGCATCATCATGATCATCAGCTCCATTATCATCGTCATACTCAGCATCATCATATACATCATCACCATCATCATCATCATCATCATCAGCATCATCATCATCATCGCCATCAGCAGTTCGATCATCATCAGCATCATCATCAGCATCAGCAACACCATCATCAGCACCAGCATCATCATCATCGTGGGCATATTCATCGACATCAACATCGTCATCAGCATCACCAGCATGACCATCATCCCCATTATCATCAACCTTCTCAGCATCATCAGCTTCATCCTCACCATCATCATCAGCATCGTCATTCTCAGCATCAACATCATCATCATCATCATCATCATCATCATCATCATCATCATCATCCTCAGGGCTCGCCCAAGGGTGGAGATACGAGGCATCACACATGACGGCCTCCCGTGCCCTCTCGAACAATTATCATCAAATTTTGCTGGGCTGGACTGGCACGTGGCTGGACTTGCCTCAAACCACTGGACATACCTTCAACCCAAGACGAACGTAAGCTTCCGCGACTTACTATCTAACGCGGCCTTCTCTGTGTTCCAGAGGTCGCTGGTAGCGGAGGCGATGTTGTCGATGAGGCGCTCGAGCATTCGGCGGTCCGTCTCATCGACCTCGTGAGCGTCCTGCTCGGACAGCTTATATACGCGCAGCAGCTGCTTGGCCAGATTGGGGATGAGCTCCTTGAGATCCTCGCTGTGCAGGCCGGAGTTCGCGAGCGTCTCCCGCTGCCACTCGCAAAACTCTTTGAAGCTCACCCTGCGGTCACCGTCCGTGTCGACACCCGAGAACACCGTCTGGCCCGCGGTGGCATCCTTCAGATGCTCTGGCACGGAGTTGCGCCTGTCGGCCTTGGACCGCGCCAGCTGGAGAGAGTTGGCCAGAATGCAGTAGCACTCCTCGAACTCCTCCCACGAAACCTGGCCGTCGTGGTTCTTGTCGTACACGTCGTACAGTGGCCTCAGGGTCGCCTCGAGGTCAAACGTCGCTAGCTTCCCGGACCCAGTGGTCGTGATCTTGGCCCCGGGACGCAGAACCCAATCGAGGAACTCGTCATACTCGATGACGCCGTTGTCGTTCTGGTCAGCCTCGTGCATGAACGAGTCGAGGTCCTCCTCGGTGACGGTGGCAGAGGACTGCTCGTGGAAGAAACAAAGAACGGCATGGAAAGAAACTTGGGAGGCCCGCGTGAAGTCCCTGGGTCTGGGACGGCGCCAGCGGCGCCGCCCAGGGATGCAGGGAGGGGGGCCCAGCGCCGACCTGCGCAAAATCTCGGAAAACCTCCAAAAGCGTGGGCTCATGCCGCTGTTTCCCTCTCCCAGGCTTGTTCAGGAGCTTCATCAGCACCGACTTCATCTCGTGCTTCGAGATGATGCCGTCGGCGTTTGTGTCCCAGACCTTGAAGGCATCCTTGACCTTCTGCCTCACGGCCTCCTCGCCGCCGCCAGCCACCATCCCTGCGGGAGGGGCGCCGCGGGTCTCGGTCCCGCCGCCTGGTGAGGTGCAAAGGGCGGCTCTGCGCGCGCGGGGGGGGGATGCGTAGGGAGGCAACGGTTCGGTGGCAGCTCGTGGAAGCCTCCCATACCATCTTGTCGGCTCTTGCGAATCGACGCCAGTCGACGCTAAGTCGACGCGAATAGGCGCTATCTCATTGACTCCCAGACGTTCATGGGCGCTAATCAACGCTAAAGCCGAATTGCGAGGTGCGAGGGTACACAGGGCTCCCATGATTTGCTACCGAACGACGAGGAAGGCGCGGGGAGGGGGGGGGAAACAAGGAGACGGGCGAGGGGAGGAGTCGCAGGGGCGAGGCAACCTGCGACGTTCGGCCTGCGGCGTTCCCGCTAGGAGCGAGACAACTTGCGGCGTTCCCGCTGGGAGCCTGACCCCTTCCCCTACCCCTAGGTCCGGACGTGGGGGCGAGGGGCGAGGGGTCAGTGCGTCAAATCTAGCTCAAGATGGCTCTAAGAGGTCCCCAGATGCTGCAAGATGGTCTTCGAGATGACCCACGACACTCCACCATGGCTCAAGATAGCCTCCGACATACTCCCATGACATCCCAAACCAGCCTTAAAACGCTTCCAAATGCACTCCGACTTAGACAATGTATTCCAAGCAATCCCTAAGTCCTTCAACTAAAAATCGTAGTTGTGCCTTTTAGCCTTTTCGATTGCCGGTGGGCTTCTGAGGCCCCGAGATGGCTTCAAGATGGCCCCAGAGAGTCCCAAGAGGGGCCGACCCCAGAGAGAGCTCGATGGGCGTCCGAGCGGCACGTCAGGGCGTCCCGAGAGAGCCCCGAGAGGCATGGCTTCCTTCTTCGACGAGGGACGCCAAGAGAAATCTTCTCGCTGCAGGAGGCAACTACCGGGAGGTTTTCGCCGGAAAGATCAAGGAGGATTGAACCCCATTTGGAGGCTGTTACGCCGGAGTGGGCCTCGGACGAAGCAGGATTGAGCCGGATGAAGCGGGATCAAGCGGGATGAAGCCGGACTATGCGGGATCAAGCTGGATGAAACCGGATCTCGGACCAGTTCGAAGACAGGACTCGGGAGTTGCATCCGAACCTGCTGGTCGATGGCATCGAGGAATCGAGCCTTACGCTTCCCCCGCCTGCCGTCCGCGGGTGGCGGCCCGCGGCCGCGAGGAGGGGCGGGGGGGGGGGCATTATGTCGGGCGTGTCCCCCTACAGGGGGATTTTCGCCGAAAAATTAAAATACCTCAGAAATGCTCCAAAAAGGTAAAAAAATACTCAAAAAATAGTCCCCAGACTATGTTTTGGAGATTTTTGAAAATATGTTTGGCGTATTTGCTTTTTCGTCGAAGATCCCCCTGTAGGGGGACAGGCCCGACTTCAGGGGGGCAGCGGGCGGGGGGCCCGAAGGGGGCGCGGCGGGCCTGCGCCACGAGGGTCGCCCGCACGGCGCTCACCGGGCCCTCGGCCAGCAGGAGCTGCTGCCGGAGCTCCTCGCGCGCGGGGAGGGGGGGCCAGAGCGCCCGCCAGGGCGGGGGGGGCGTGAAGCGATGGGCCGGTGTTCTACCACCACTACCACAAGTAGGAGGGGGAGGAGGGAGGGGGGGGAGGAGGAGGAGGAGGACGAGGAGGAGGAGGAGGACGAGGAGGAGGAGGACCTCCCCATCCCCTTCTCTCCCGTGCTACCTATGGCAGCGGGTATGGAATATCGGCCCATCACGAAGGGCGCATCGGCGCGGAAAAGTGGCCTGCCTTGATCGAGGGCTCCTTCCCTGTGGCCTCAGCGCGAGGGGTTCCTCTCTAGGGGGATGAGGATCACAGCCCCCCCCATGGAGGCTGGTCGGCTCGTTCCTGCGCTCCGCCTCCTCCTCCTCCTCCTCCTCCTCCTCCTCCTCCTCCTCCCCCTCCTGCTCCTCCTCGCCGTCCCCCTACCTCCTCTGAAGGGTCGGCGCCCCGCCCCGAGGAGGGACGGTGGCGCAGATATCGAGCTCCCCCCCCTCCTCCTCCTCCTCCTCCTCCTCCTTCTCCTCCTCGCCGTCTCCCTCCTCCTCCTCCTCCTCCTCCTCCTCCTCCTCGCCGTCTCCCTCCTCCTCCTCCTCCTCCTCCTCCTCCTCCTCCTCGCCGTCTCCTCCTCCTCCTCCTCCTCCTCCTCCTCCTCGCCGTCTCCCTCCTCCTCCTCCTCCTCCTCCTCCTCCTCCTCCTCCTCCTGCCTCCTCCTCCCTCCTTCTCCTTCTCCTCCTCCTCCTCGCCGTCTCCCTGCCTCGTCAGAGGGGTCCGCGCCCCGAGGCGGGACGTGGGCGCACACCTCCAGCTGCTGCGGGGGGGCTCGCTCCGCGGGGGGGGGGGCGCCCCGCCCGGCACCGCCACGGCGCGAAGACGGACGGCCCCACGGCGGCCCCCAAACACCGACAGTGCGGCCAAGAGAGCCCCAAGGCGGCCAAAGAGAGCCTCAAGCCGGCGTAGGAGGGCCCAAAGACGGCCTGAAGGCCCCAAAGGGATCCCCAAGACGAATCCCTCAGGAGGCCAACCTTTGTCATCATCATCATCATCATCATCATCATCATCATCATCATCATCATCATCATCATCATCATCATCATCATCATCATCAGCATCATCATCATCATCATCACCATCATCATCATCATCATCAGCATCATCATCAGCATCAGCATCAGCATCAGCATCAGCATCAGCATCATCATCATCATCATCATCGTCATCATCAGCATCATCATAATCATCATCATCATCATCATAATCATCATCATCAACAGCATCAGCAACACCATCAGCATCATCATCACCACCACCACCATCATCACCATCATCATCAGCAGCATCATCATTATCAGCATCATCAGCTTCATCATCAGCATCATCATCACCAACATCAGCAGTATCATCATCCTGATCAGCATCATCACCACCATCACCATCACCATCACCATCAACATCACCATCATCATAATTGTCATCATCATTATCGTTGCCCTTAGCGTCATATCATCGTCATTATCATGGTCATCATCATCACCACAATCATCATCACCACCATCACAATCGAATCATCTACATCATCACCATATTCACCATCACCACCACAACCACTATCATCACCATCATCATCATCATCATCATCATAATCAGCAACACCATGAGCATCATCATCACCGCCACCATCATCATCACCATCATCATCAGCAGCATGAGCATCATCATTATCATGAGCATCATGATCATGAGCAGCATCATCACCATCATCACCATCATCACTAGCATCATCATCACGAGCATCATCAGCGTCATGAGCATCACTATCAGCATCATGAGCAACATCAGCATCATGATCATGACCATCATGATCACCACCATCGCCAACCTCAACCTGAAATATGCTCCTCATCCGCATCCTTATCATCCTCCTCATCATCATCAACGTCACCATCATCATCATCAATCATCATCATCATCCTCAGCATCATAGGCATCATCAGCGTCGTCATCATCGTCATCACCCCCTACATCATCATCACTACCATCAACATCAACATCATCATATCCGCGTAACCCTCCTCCGCATCATCAACATCATCAACATCATCATCATCATCATCATCATCATCATCATCATCATCATCATCATCATCATCATAATCAAACCCTGTGTGTGTGACTACCGTGCTGCTGCAGTGCGTCGAAATCTGCTCCTGAACTATCTGCGCTGCCGCATCTGCTCCCGCCCTCCCGTTCCTGCCGCCTCCCAGGACGCCCCGCTCCGCGCGGAGGGCCAGCACCACGCCAACAGAAATCCCCGAGCTCTGGCCGCACACCGGCGTGACACAGGCCTGGGGGGCCTCACGGCCATGCAGCAGCATCGGCCAGAGAAGAGCAAGCAATGACTACAAGAAAGATACAGGGAAGGCTGGACGCAAAGAGAAGGGACTGAGGACGCGGTAGGCGGCAAGGTAAAAGGTTAAAAACCGCAGCCAACTGACGCGCAAGCGCTAAAAAGCGTAGCCAGACAAACAACAACTAACATGTCTGCAGTTGTTAGAATTCGATTGGTCTGCGCTATAGCTACTAAGACGCAATTTCCAACACTCAGCGGCAACAGCGGTAAACCGTCAGTGTGCAGCTGAGCAAACCGAGATCATCACCATTAGCATCAGAACCAACATAATCGTCTTTCTCGTTCTCATGATCATCAACCGCATCATCTCCGTCGTCATCGTCAATGTCGTCATCAGCAGCAACAACGCCATCATCCTCATCATCACCATCTCCTGCTACACCCCAGGCCACCCTATACATTTCTGTGTGGCGGGCGATCCCACCGAAGGCGCAGCAGCGAGCGAACGAGACACACGGCAGAGAGAGAAGAGGAGGAGGAGGAGGACCCAACGCACCCACACAACACCGAGGAGGAGAGAGAGAGAAGAGGGAGAGATGGGCGGGCCAGCAAAAAACTTGAGCCGACGAGGTCGCGGCGAGATGCGTGACCACGACGGCCTTCGGTTCCACCTGGAATGAAATGTGCAAACACGGCCATCTCCTGCTACATCCCAAGCCACCCTGTACATTTCTGTGGCGGGCGCCCCGGGCGATTCCACCGAAGGCGCACCAGCGAGCGAGAGAGACACACGGCAGAGAGAGAGGAGAAAGAGGAGGACCCAACGCACCCACACAACACCGAAGAGGAAACCCGAACCCGAGAGGAGAAGTGGCGACGGCAACACGGCGCCGAAGGTACATAAACCTAAACAGGAGCACGCATAACATTAACAAGAGTACTTACCAGAAACAGGACAGGCAAGAGAAACCAAACGCTTGAAACCTTGAAATCCTGTTTGCCTTGCGAATAAATCTGAAAATGCGTACGAAACTTGACAGGATAGGGTTCGGCAAAGCGGGTCCACAAAATCCCAGAAACAGGGCCAAGGCCAGAGAATATTATGCGGGGTTTACCAGTTTTTTTTAAAAAAAGCAGAGGCCCTTTCTACAACTGCGCCGCGGCCTCACGAAAACATCTGGGCGGTGACGGGCCCAGCAGGCCACGCGCGTGAACTTCCTCAAACGGGCCCCAAACGAACACATGTCGACGTCGAACGACACGGCGTCGCTGG